TCATCATCATCATCATCATCATCATCATCATCATCATCATCATCATCCACTGATATACAATTTTTAAGCATCGAGCATCCAGCTACTACTGTAAGACTTTCAGGACACCCAACCCATGGTGAGACCCAATGCTCACGATCCGCCAGGTGCGATTGGACACCCAAGCTCACACGGCGCAACGGCTTTCAGAAGTGCCGCTCATGAACTTCTGCGCCCGGCACCTCAGTGATGGGATCTGAACCCCCCATGTGCAACACCCCTTCATGTGGTGGGGTTGTTGATGAAGAGCCTACAGAGTCTACATTGGTTACATGCATCGTGGAAGTTGTCCACTTCCATGATGATTCCTGGGAGTGTTACCACGAAGAATGCTAGGCGATACTAGGACGAAGGAGGTGCATGAGATTTTGTGGAGCGGAGATTTATTGAGCCGGACCACAAACCCTGAGGATCTACATACCCTCTGAGCCGTTTGGCGGGATGTTTTGTTTCAGCATAAAGATCAAGCGTTCATGTCCATGGGGACATAGCAAGACCATAAACGGACCCGAGTCTGCACAACATCAGCCTGACCTGCTGGAAGTTGGTTCATCGACTGACCTTTCTGCACACCACATTTGACATGGAGACATGGAGATGTGCGGTTGCCTGGCCAAGCGGTGCTTTAAGTTTGTTCAGGTTTGCTACATCAGCATCGTCAACCAGTTCTGGCAACACCCTGCTACCACCTAAAGTAAGCAGCTGTTTTCGTCGTTTTGGAGTGTTTTATCCTTGGAAGACGACATGTCCAACAAAATTGTAGGACACCCCAATAAACACCAAACAAGAACACCGCCACCACCAGAAACCAGAAATCCAAACCAAAAAAGACATCCTCACCATATGGCATTCTGTGCTGGGCTTGTTCGGCCCCAAACCCGGCCGCCACGGGGACACTGGACCGGAGTGAGGTGGACTCCACGAACTCGCTGGGCTTTTGCGTCGTCCGGGGCGCTAGAGACACAGATGGAGAGAGTCTGTGGCGGTGACTCTTGGGATGGTTTGGTATAGTTCTGCATACGATGTGTGTTTGTCCATGTGTTGTTTTCCATGTTTTTCCACGTGAAACAATGCAATCCCTGTTTGGGCGCGCCAGGAACATCACCGGATGGGGGGCCTCGATGGGCCGTTCAATGGAACTGAAGGAGTCCGTCAAACCGCGAGGTTTCGCTCGCTCGCAGTCTCCAAGAAAGCGTGGTGCGGGGCGGTTTTGATGCAAAGACCTGTTTGAAGGTTCTTTGGGTCGAAGTAAAATCCTCACAACGTGGAGATACACATACCCTCAACTACTTAGGCTTTACCTGAGGTCCCTTGGAAGTAGTTGCCGGATGTTGCCGGTATAGATAAACTATATAAGTTTGTAAATGGGGATGGATCCAGTGATGTTCTAGTTTATGTTCTCTTGCTTTCATACATGGGGATGGATCAAACCCTGGAGCCCGGTCGTTCGTCCACCATTTGTCATGAACGACCGACACCAGGTAGTAGGTCAATCAAGGTATCCTGGGTCAAAAACCAGCGCCAACAAAATGTTGCTGTAGACTTTAGAACCTTTAGAATGCTTTCCCACATGGAGCATTTATCCCAGTTTTGGCACCGGGAACAACCCAAGTTATACCCTCGCCCCAAGCCTCTTGCCAAACAGAAGTGGAAGGAACGTATGCAGCCACATAGTGTTCCAAGGGTCCATTGTCCAAGGGCGTTTTGCGCGGATGGACGGGGGGGTCACATGAGTGCTTTTGTTTATTTGTTTGGGGAAGGAAGCGGTTATACTTCCTTTTCAAAAAAAGGAGGTCACCTGCAACCTGCTGCCTAACCTGCTGCCACATCATCATTCCTTGCGTTGTACGGCGAACGAATTCGAGCCTCGGTCCTCCACGGCCTCACGGCCTCGCTGCTCAGATCTTCACGCCCAAAGTCCAAGTCGTGGCGGGCGACGAATTCGAGGCGGAGTCGGATGGTTTGATCGGATCGAGGAGAGGGGGACGACCTGGATAGGTAGGTAGGTAGGTAGTAGATAGATACAGAACGTTATATGCATGTTGAGTGTGTTGTGCTGGAGATTCATTCTCCGAGAAACATCTAGCTTAGTGGTTTCCGCTGTTCAGTCACTCTTTCAGTAGTTTGCTGTTTTAATTTTTCCCGAACAGTGTTGTCACACTAGGGGTTCTTACGGTAAGTGTTAAGGCCGGGTTTTGGTTGGAGGTTCTCATCGGCGTGGGCGGCCAATTTGCTGCTATTTACAATGCATTCATGCGCGAGGCTGGAGCTGCCAAAGATGCAGGAGGTGTCATCGAGCTTGACAGGAGGTCCGTGCGCTTCTCATGTTGGCCCCAATGGCAATCGCATTGTGCGCAGTTTATCTCTCATTGAGTGGCCTTTCACCTCACCAATTCTCTCCTCCATGGGTGGTGATTGCCGAGAAGAATGGCTGGCAATTACGGATGATGGCATTGCAACGCCAGAGGGAGGTCGGGAACCCAATCCTCGTCAAGGCTCTCACGACCCAGCTCCAGCGGCTCAGCCATGGGCGTCGAAGCAACAGATGAAGGTCCGGAAGCCATTGATTTTGATCCTCGACAGGGCGATGATGATGCATATCCAGCAGTGGAGCTAGAGCCAGTGGAGACCGAAGATGGAGTCCTGTACTAGCGACATTGTCATGGATTGTCTTGTTCATTGCAATGCAATGTGGCCCAGACTGTGAAGTCTCGGACTCAATCACTGGTTGGGCTAGTTGGGAATTCCTCTACAATTGCAAAGTGCAATGTGGTGCTTTTTCATTGCGAAAGCCATGCAGCCCATTAGCTACGCTGATTAAGCTTGAAATGGTGTAAATGATACTGGTTGGAATGTGCCTACTCACGATTGCAAACAAGCACCGAGGCATTTAATTGTTCATCATCTTCTGGTGAGTAAAACAGTTGATTTCTTTTGATGTCTTTGGATTCATTTGATATCTTGTTGATGTCTTTGGTTTTGTTTATGAAATGAGTTGCTTCAGGGTTTTTGTTGCGTTTCCCCTGCAAGTGACTTACATCGAACATTTTATAAACATCAACACCTCACCAAACCTTTGGTTTTACGGGTGTCCTTTGACTTTTTTATTGCCGATTCTTGGGGTGGCTTTGGAATGTCACATGGACATTCAGATAGGGCCACGTGGGCGTTGGTGCAGGTGTGGAAGAGGCGCCAATCCAAGTGCTTCAAAACCCGAGCCATCCACAGGAGCCAGAGACCGCCATCATCACCACCACCATCATCACCAAAACATCACCACGCACCACCATCACCACCACGATCATCACCGCCATCCATCATCACACCACCAATCACCACCAATCACAACCACCGCCACCGCCACCGCCACCACCACCATCACCACCATCACCAGCATCCACCATCACCTCTCTTTGGAACCCGTTATGTCCAGATGTCCAAACCTTTTGTTTGTACACATCTAGACCTCACTAGTAGACCTTTTTAGACACACTGTGTAGTCTTTTTCCGGGATAATGGGAAACATGCCAGAGAAAAGGCTCTGCCATTTTCTGGATTTGTTTTTGTTTGCAATGTTTATTCTTTCCTACGTGACTGTTTGCGGGAGTTTTGCGGGTAAATCGTAGTTTGTTCGATATATGTTGATTTCCCAAGCGCCTGCTAAATCTTGGACGTTCAGTGGTTTAGGAGTTTTTGGTGTCTTGGGAGTTGGCGGTAGAACGCCAGCGTTTTGAGATAAACGGACAAACTACAAAGTCCACAATAAAACATGTTTCCTGGAAGAAGAGCCACCAAGGTGTGTTTGTTCAATGTTCTTTTTTTTCCCTCTGGTGTAGGTTCTGAGCCATCAGATCTCAAGGTAGCAGAATTCATTCCATGAAAGGTTTTGAGTTTTGATCATGTTTTAAAGAACTGCCGCAAAAACGTGTTGATTGCTGTTTTTTTGAGGTGAAGAGGAGACCTGACCTACAAGGAACACAGCAAATATGGTGCCAGACATTGCCATACACCCGCACGACAGATAAGATCACATTCATGGGTTGTTGTTGATTTGTACATGCTATGATACTATGTATGTAGACTATAAACTCATACATGTATTAATAAATATTATCAATGAAACAATCCCTTCCCATGATTTGTGGGCGCTATCGGGTCAGCAAGTTCCTTGCTTCATGCTTGGACCTACCAAACAAAGACTCTGCTCCAACAGCAAAAATGATCCCAAGGCATAGATGGCCTTCGATGATCAAAAAGTATGTCCCCAAGTGTACAACCCTTGTATACATACCAAACCGACCCCTTCCACGATTTCCATCGACTTCGAACATCGATCGATCCGGTCTGAGGTGGTCTTGACCGGCTTGAGAGATCAGCACACGCCCATGGGAGCCCAACGTCTCAGAGACCACGTCGCCTGCGGGACTCACGTGTTTGAGGTGTCGGACGTTTTCGGGATGTGTCATGGGAGCGCGTGCGTTGGTCGCCATGCATGGCAGCATGATTTGGAAGATGGTTGTTTGGTGCAGACTGATGAAAGCAACCTGGTAGCTGTCATAAATGAGATCTATAATATGGCCTGCCCGGTAGCTATCATGATAACCTGATGACAAACTCATAAATGAATTATAAACGACAATCGTTCTTCATGTCATGCCTGGCAGCCATGCTGGGTTGGTGAGAAGTTCGTCCCACCGTCTCCTTGGTTGGCAGAAATCGACTCGTGGGCTGATCCGTCCCACCTCATTCCGCGAAGATCACAGGAGGTTCACCGCGAAGCTCGGCCTAGGCCGTTTGCAACTTGCAGTACTTCCTCTCCTTCCAAAGCTTCGGGCCTGGCCGCCAGAGGATTCCAGCTTGTTGGGCCAGCCTTAGGACGAGTCCAGATTTGAGCTAGAAAGCTCAGGGTTGAAGAACTATAGTTCATCATGTCTATGGCAGAAATTCGGTGAAGATTAGGCGTAGGATGATCTGGCGAGATCTTGTTCTCTTTTTTGATGTTATCCTTTGGTCCTTTGGTGGTCTGAATCAACATTCCTTTGTTCTCCGGTGATCCCTTCATTTCTCATGCACCAAACTCACGACGAATGATAGCCCATAGCCCATTATAGCATCCAAATCCTTGCATCATATTGGGTTTTCTAGGATCAGAAGTCACAAAAGGAGACAAGTTTGGGGTGACATGGTTGGTTTGTGACTCTGTAGAAAGACCAGAGCACTGCGGTCCGGAGCACTGCGGAGCTTTAGTCTTCGGAGCTGGGCCATGGGAGCTTCTCTTAGGTGATCCGAGTCTGTGGAGTGTTTCACTCCTCAGACTCGGATCCACCGACAGGCATCCAAAGGCCGCCTGAGGCATCCTGAGGCCCTGAGGCATCCCATTTAGTCCCATCCCAGTCTGACAGAGCCTGAGTGAGTCTGACAGAGCCTAGTGAGTCTCACCATTTGAAGGCACCGGGTTCCATGGGAGTTGGCATGGACTTGCCGAATGTTTGCTGATCTTGGAGGCGCCATCATCAAGATCAAGACTCACTTTCGCTGCGTGCGGTGAGGGGATCCTAGGCGTCCGCTGTAGGAGACCGTGAGGACCTTGCGAGAGGCGCTCTAGAGTGGGTGGTTCATGATTGATGCCACTTTGATTCAGTCCAAGAAACTTAACTTGGTGAAGGAGTCATCTACTGTGGTCTATTCAGGTTTCGGTCCAGATCAGGGATGACGTTCACCCGCCATGGGTTTCCGGAGACCTCAGAGGCTAGCCGCTTGTAGCAGCCAAGTGGCCAGAAGATCGACAACCGAGCCGCAAATCATTCCCAAACATTCCATGCATGGCATATCCATGTATGGTGTGTCCCATGACCTGTATATAGCAGTCGGTAATGTTTGGAGAAAGGTCTTTACATACATCATGTCTCTCGTCTTTGGACTCTCGGTCTTAGTGCGTTCTCCTCAGAATTTCGGACACATGATCAGCTGTGGTTCCGGGCTTTGAGGAGCCTTGGAAAGGTCTTTAACAAAAACCGTTGCAAGGCTCCTAGAACCCATTTGACAAGACCTTTCCAAGAATGGGTTCAGGTCTTGGAATGGCTTCAGGTTCACTGCTCTAACTTTTGATGTACCTAGAACCCATTTGACCCTTGTTTTGATAGGAAAAGTGGCCATATTCTGGGATAGTTGATCCTCCAAAAAACAGGGGTCACGCAGGTTCTAGGTATGGCATATGTATACACCCTTGATTGGTTGTTTCGGGGTCAATGTGGGCTAGTATTTTGTGCATTAAGTGGTTGGGCTGCATGCTGGTTGTTCATCACCTTTCCAAAGAATCTCCTGCACTGACTTCAGCGGAACATGTACTGGTTGATCATGTTTGTAGGTCAAACAAGCAATTCTCTGGAATGACTTGTGGACGGCTTGGTTCCAAAAAGCCCTGACATTTCATGTGAGGCCAAGTGAATGTGCGTCTCCTCTTCCAGGTCATTGAGCTCGGTTTGAGATGGAGTAGCAGCGTAGCAGTCCTAGCTGGGCTTTCACCGACCTCTTTGCCCTGGTGCCAAGGCTTCTTGGTTAACCAAGTTGCAGACGCCCTCCATTTGGGAGGAGGCTGTGCTTTGAATGCCCAAGGAGTGGAGAGCGGAGTGGAGGATCGCACACAGCATAGAATCTGAGAAAACTCACTAACGACAAAGAGACTCAGTTGAGTAATGCAGAATGTAGACTTTTGATGCATTACCAACAAACTTAATCTGAATAATGAAGAAGCATTTACAGTATATAAGCTCATGGCTGTTCAATCCAAAAGGGGCAGCATGTTCAATCAGCTTCACCGGCTTCGCCCACGCCCACGCCTCGCCCTCACCAGGTGGCCTTCACCTCCGGGTCCGAGCAATCCGACCGCCCGGGCGCCCGGAGGGTCGAGCGGCCCCACAGGAGAGGAGTGACAAAGAAGAAGAGATGCGTATAGGTATAGAGGTACCTCATAGGATAGGTATATAGGTGTATATATATATAGGTATAGAGGATCAGAGATCCATTTGGATCCTCTTAGTAGGTATACCTCATAGTATATAGGTATATATACATGTATATACTATCTCCAGGCGGCCAGGTAGTTTCGGGGGGGTCATTGAGCAAACCCAAAGGGTTAAGTGAGGGGTATAGAAGAACAAAAACATATCAACGATATCATAAAATTTACCAGACATATTAATCTGATATGCTATTGAAGGTTGTTGTTTTGTTTGGAGTAGCCACCTGCGGCCTTGAAAAAGCGCAGGTGGCGTGGATGAACGCTTGGGCTCGGCCAAGCGTGCTCGGGCGCTGAGCGAAATGGACATCGTGCTGGTCAAGGCAAAAGGACTTCGGAAGTGCAAAAAAGAATAGACAAGGACTAGTTGTCTTGCCGAGCTTGGGCAACCAACTCAGAGGCTTTGTATGGCTTTGTGTTCATTTGTGTGTCTTCGTTGGGCGAGCTAGGACCAGCTAGGCATGTTCAAAGCCTTGACATATGGAGAGACATAATGTGTGTGCGTGTGTGAATGCACAAGACTTGTCAATGATAGTCACTCTCCAAGTGAATGTTGGGGTCAATCCAAGGTATTAGTTGGCGAAAGCTAATGATATGAAAGGCTTGAATGATTTGGCATTTGCTGGTTTCTCAAACCAGATTATTCTATGTTGGTGGCTGTATATATTCGTTGGTGATAGTTGCGTTTGGATGCCCAAATAGAATGACACTTAGGCAAGTAGCTCGTTTAAGCACATGGACATTGTAGATGAACAAAAACAACAAACATTCTTTTAATACACCAGGACCATCAACTACCGGCTAATCTACCCTTGTTTCTTTAACACCTCTTGGATGGTCCACATACAATCTCACGACTCACCACGTGGTTGGGCGCCCTCCTTCCGGTGAAAGCCCGCGCTCGGCACCAGATCAGGTCACCACCAACACCGCGCTGGACCGCTTTGGCCTGAAATCCGGCCGCTCGGCCGAGCGAAGGGACGGGCCACGGGCCATGGGGGGTAACACCACTTGAGGTGCTGCTGGCAGTTCGCATGTGCCTACCTTTTTCCTACTCGCTGTGGCGGTGTTCACCGAACATCCGAGTCAGCTGTGGCCACATCGAAAGGCGACCACGGTGAATGTCAAGTAGTTACAATACTATATAATTGCCCTCTATGGGCGGTGTCTATGAAAGAGAGACTTGTTTTTTGGGGGATCCTCAAAACTCAAGGAGGCTCAAAGAGACTGGTCACTTTCACAAACATCTCACTCATCTCAGGGTTTAACCGCCGGAATACAACTAATATTAGTTCGGTGTCTTTGTCCCCAAGTACAGGTGTCTTTGTACCTGATCGCAGAGCAAAACCGCACAAAACCTCGCTGCAAACTTAAACGGAGAAGACGGAGATCCCGTCGTGACGGTCATGGGAGATCTGTCGCTGTGCGGACCGAGTGGCTGTTTTTAGTCCAGATACCTAAGAAATAGACTCTTGAATTGATAAAACACACACATATATATATATATATTAATGAACATGATAGATCCCTCCAGGCTGCAAAAAAAACAAAACATAATAAGTCAAATTAATATCATGAAGAGGTTTAAAATGACCCACAATGGGTTCTATTCATCGATTCATCGTCGATTCATCTATACACAGGCTAGCCAATCCTCAACTTGAGCAGATACAAACCACACCACACATGGACATGGTCCAGTCAAGTCAAAACCTCAAAGTCGTGGCTTTTTCCGTCTCCGTCTCGGCTTCCTGACGATGAATTCGTTTTTGCGCTTTCTGACACGCTGGTTTTCTGACACGAGCTGAGGCCTCAAGAATCAGGACACGCTGGGCCGGTGGGTGGGTGGACCGATACCATTGGACAGGGGGTCCATGGACAGAGCCCAAGAGAAAAACAGGCCCTGAATTCATTTGGGGCATTGGACAGGAAACAACGCGCGCCCGGGTGGAGCCCTGAACATGAACAGAATAGACTACTAAGGTCAACCTAAGAAGACTTGGCTGTTGACATCAATCGGAGAGGGGCTATGCATGATTATGTTTCCATGTCAATGTCCGCCACGCGAGCTTGCAACGCCCGAATCAGCTTGGTCCTTTTAAGGGACACCTCCGGATACCGGAGGATGTGGGAGGCTTTGGGTTGCGGTCGTGATAGACCCCTGGGCCCTGGTTGATCCTGGTTGCATGTTTCATTGTTTCATGTGTTTTTTTATTTTTGGGCGATGCGGAGAAAAGACCAGAGACTACCGGAACATGTGAATGCACTTCTCACTTCCTGGCAGATCCAAACGTATGGAGCGCTGGTCGTTTCGCCGTTTGCTTTGCAAGCAATCCACAAAAGTTGCTGCTGACGGACCTGCAAGTCTCACAATTTGCGTATTGTTTGAGGGTAGCTGGTACAGGAGACACAGACATTCCGATACATTCCGTGACACATTGCCGACTTCCCAACTGGATATCCACTGAATTCGGCCAATGAAGCCAGAGTCCGATACAGCCGGCAGCCTTGTGACGGACGCAACGCCACTGGTCGGTGTATCGGACCATCCACACTTAGGGATCCGTGCCATGGTGTCTTTGAAAAGAACACGGTCATGAGTCATGACCTCAAAGGGACCAAACTTCAGCTTCCTGACCCAACATCCCCCTTGTGAAGAAATCCCGGCTCGTCAGAACCATGAGATCAGGTGGCAGCCTCAGTTCGTGCGACCGAGACCTGCGACGAAAGCCCTGCCAGATCTTTCGAGCCATACAAGATAGGACAAGATTTGGTGGGTAGAGCAGCATCAGATGGGATGGTGAAAAGTATACTCTGACCCATCAACATGGAAGTGGTTTTTGGACCATACTAGACCTTTGGAAGACCATTTGGCTCCAGGGGGTGAACTCCACGTCCATGGAACGTGAGTGGGAGTGTAAGAAGGATGTGAAAAGCAGAACATCGTGGAACTGGTAGAAAACATGGCAATGGTGAAGCGCCAAAGAGCACTCCATGTCATCCCACCGAACTGGTCACGTTCGTCAGGGAATGAAGCAGCCTCGTTTGGTGGGCTGCCGTTCGATGGCCTCGTTCCAGACGACACTTTCGTCTCACCAGTTTGGGTGTCGATGGATTTTTGAAAACAACAACAACAACAACAAACAACAACATACAACATACAACATACAACTACAACTACAACAACAACATTTGGATGATTTTGGAGTGTAAAACTTTCAGGCCTGGGGTCATTTATTAATCAGCCCAAAGAAACGTTTCCTGGAGCCAGCTGGAATTGGCTTTCGGACGGCGTCTTTCAATGAACAGAGCGGTGTGGAGTGGTTTTGGCCGCAGAGGTTCTGGCCGCTTGAAACGGTGAAGTTGAGAAGTTTTGCATGTGACTGCATGTGAGTCTGTATCAAAAACGGGAGGCAGAGCCCTGTTCGAACCCATTTGTCCTAAATGGAACATAGACCAGTCTAGAAAAAGCTGGCGCCAGGGTGTCCCACATCCAAGCGGATTACTAGGGCAAATGGTGCTGACCAGTGTGTTGAATTTCTTCCCTGTTGAGACAGAAGGCCTTTTGCCGACTGAAAGAGTCTCGGAAGAGGATGAAATGGGATAAACATGAGGGTGGGACAGAGCTGTTTTGTTTCCAACTGAGGAGTCCCACACCTTGTTGATTTGTCCAGAACCATCCCTCAGTCACACAGTCACAGGCCTTCACTTGGAGACTTTTCTGGATCCAGGTAGAGCTTAGCAACGGTAGCTGTCATGCAGCCACATGCCTGTTGTACGCTGCTTCACAGTCGTCAACTGTGCGGCCCGGACGCCTGGAGCTTGGGAAGGCGTCCCTTCGACATGGACCATGCGAAGCCGAGACTTTGGATTCTTGGGACCTACCCAGCAAAGGTGGAACTCTTTGAACCTCGCGGATTGGTTTCCTCACTGAAATCCGACAGGTGGACCAGTTCGGTTGACCGGAAATGGTGAGAGTCTGGGGCACAAAGCTTAAGGTGCGAGTTGCTATTGCTCTCCGCAGATTGATGTTCCGTTCCGCAGGAGTTGTTCATTTATATTGAAAAACATCGCGAGGCACCACTGCAGTGTCCCACGAAAGGGGGCAGCTGCGGGGATGCGATATCGCGTACCAGATCATGCCAGCGACTTCCCTTCCTTGGCGTAAAAGACACATTAATATATACATGACTTGAAGTGCCTTGGATATTGTATATTTTATTATATATATACAGTATATTATTTTGTTGTAGCTGTAGATGTTAAGTACTTAGTCCTTTGTGGCCTTTGTACCAGCGGTATTTGGCCAAGAGGAGCGACTCCCAAACTGGCTATCCAGAAGAGCTTCTAACTGGCACTGGCATCCGGCATGAATGAACGCCAAAACTGGCGGAACTGCTGGTATAAATTACTTTAGTCATGAGCTGCCTTAAGTAGTCTTAAGTATTTCAGAACTGATCCAATACATTTGGCTGTGAGTCAAAACCACCAGGAGACCGTGCGGGAAGAGTTGGCCCGGTTTCGGGCAATCACGAGAACTAGATGACTGTACGACAGGGGGGGCAATGGGCACGCCATTGACAGCATTACGATAATATGTAATTATTCTTCAGGAATCAGCAGGACATTGATCTCGTTTTGGAAAGTGATTTGTTGAATGGCATCAATGACCATCTGGGGTCAAAGGACCTCACCCAATTGCAGCTTGTGTTTTTTCTGGTTCCATTCCCTCTAATTGCAAATGTCCCTCAAATACACGATGCCAGGCTGCCGGGCTTGTGGTGAACCAATGGGGTTTGGACAACAGAACAGAAGCTCATCCCCAATCTACCCCAAGGAACTGAGAGTCCGAAAAGCACCCAGGGAATGCCTTGAACAAACATGCTATGATTCTGTATAATACATGTATGTGATGCATTCATTTCGTCTCTGGAGACTCTCCGAACTTGGCACATTTCAGGAGAGCGACATGGTCTCCTCGCGCCTTTCGCAGCTCACTGGCCGCCGTGGTGCTGGGAAGACGCGGCCGACGAGAGAGGTGGCACCGCCGGAAGCACGAACGTGGGGCGCATCCTAGGGCAAGCCCTACTTGATGCTATTTGAGTGGGTCTTGGGGGGTGAAACATCGATGGATGAACCAGTACTTGTTTTTTAGTTTTGATCATGGCCAGATTTCAGTTGAACAGCACGGACACATATCAGTGCACTCTCATATGAATGAGAGCACACAAACTTTAAAGTAAAGTGTTAAACATATCTATAGTATGTTATATATGTTCTATTGTATAATCATACGTGCAAGAGTGCGCTCAGTATGAGCACACAGATATTGGAGCTCATTTTCGATCACACATGATGCAGAGCATGAGGGTTTTGAGACGTCTCCGGTGTCCCCTGGACCCGAGCCGAGCAGACCATGGTGGACAGGTTTGGAACGCCGGCAAAAGGACGAAAAGCATCAAAGACCAATCAACGAAGATCAACGAAGAGATGAAACCTACCCATCCAAACCATCAAACACCTATTAAGACAACAAAGATAAACAAAGGATGTTCACCACCCGCCCTGACGCCTGCGGATGTCACATGCATGTTCACTCCACCTGGATGGTATGGCCGGAGGCCCAGACTCGGTGTCTCCGAGTCTGAACGAATGAATGAGTTGGTGCAGAAGCTGTGGCAAGTGGGCACTGAAGGACACTTGGACTTGGACTGAAGGAAGCTGTTGGTCAAAACCTGGAGCCCATTCGTCCATTCTGTTTATTTTACTATTTCTGTGGTCAACCGGTGGGTCTTCGGGTTTCCTTTTTTCCAAAGCCATAGAACCAGCTTCAACGAGTGGCCCGGCCCTGATGTCCGATGGATGGGACCTGATGTCCGACCCTCAAAGCATCTCAAGGCTCGGGGGGGATGAAGCTGATGAAGTTCAATCGCGAGACGGGAAGAAGCGAATCGAGTAGTTTTTAGACCCTAAATGAGAGGATAATGGGGACCCCTATCCTCCAAGTTCGGCACCCCTTTGTGACTCCTGGTCGAGTGGTTTTTTTCTTGTTGTTTTCGTTTGTTCTAGTAAGTTTTGTTTCTTTTTTTGTCTCGCACTGATTGAGTTTTGGCATTGGACTCTTCCCACTATACAAAACAACCCTTTGTGATTGTTTTGGTGAATTCAAGAAATGCATGTAGAAATACAGCCAGTAGATATTGCCTACGAATATGCTGGTCTTTTGCAGCCTCAAAAACAAGTTGGATGGGGTTCCCAGCTGATTCAACCACTCATCAATATGACAACAGTATTGCAAACAGTCTGTGCATGTGTTTATAATAGAATCATGTCTACATGAATGCCCTGTTCAATCCTCCCAGGAAATCTTGAAACACTTTTGCCAGAAGTGAACTCGACGCGGAGCCTTCAGCGAGTCTTGGGGATCATGCGAAAAGAAAAGCGAGCCGATCTGGTGTATGCGACGTTAGAGGTCATTTTGGAAGATGGTCGCATCCAACTGAGTGGGTCCAGCTTCACGTTGGGCATTTCAACTTGCGCAACGGCCAGCAAGTGGCAACAGGCATTGGAATTGGTTGAGGCCATACCCAAGGGAAAAGTTCAGCACAATATCATCAGCTACAGTGCAGCTATCAGCGCCTGCGAGAAGGGTGGGCAATGGCAGCAAGCATTGAAACTATTTGAGCGCATTCCCACAGCAAGAGTTCAGTCAGACGTCATCAGCTACAATGCAACCATCAGCGCCTGCGAGAAGGGCGGGCAATGGCAGCAAGCATTGAAGTTGTTTGAGGACATGCTCAAGACACAATTTCATCCCAACTTCGGAAGCTGCAGTGCTGCCATAAGTGCCTGCCAAAAGGGTGGACAATGGTTGCAAGCATTGAAGTTGCTGGAGGCCATGCATAAGACGAACGTTCAGCCCAACATAACTTGCTACAATGCGGCCATCAGTGCCTGTGAGATGTGTGGACAATGGCAGCAAGCATTGAAGGTGCTTGAATCCATACCACATGCGAATGCTCGACCCAACCTCATAACCCACATTGCAGTCGTTGGTGCCTGCGAGAAGTGTGGGCAATGGCAGCAAGCATTGAAGTTGTTTGAGACTATGCACCAGACAGAAGTTCAGCCCAATTTCATCAGCTACAACGCGGCCATTAGTTGCTGCAGAAAGGGCGGGCAATGGCAGCACGCGTTAATCCTGTTTGAGGAAATGCCCAAGGTGACAGTCACGCCACAGGTAGTCAGCTACAATGTGGCCATCAGTGCATGTGAGAAGGGCGGGCAATGGCAACACGCTTTGAAGTTGTTTAAGGACATGCTCAATACAAGTGTTCAACCCACCGTCATCAGTTACAGTGCGGTCATCAGTGCCTTTGAAAAGAGAGGGCAGTGGCAGCAAGCGCTGTGCATGTTTGAGGCCATGCCCACGGCGAAAGTTCAGCCCGATGTTATCAGTTACAGTGCAGCCATAAGTGCCTGCGAGAAGGGCGGGCAATGGCAGCAAGCATTGAAGTTGTTTGAGTCCATGCCACAGGCAAACGTTCAGCCCAATATCATTAGTTACAATGCAGCCATCAGTGCCTGCGAGAAGGGTGGGCAATGGGAGGAAGCGTTGAAGTTATTTAAGACCATCCCCAAGGCAACAGTTCAGCCTAACGTCATTAGCTACAGTGCGGCAATCAGTGC